ATGTATTTTGTGGTTATCGCATTTTCTCACCCCAAGGACACTTGTATTCTGTTAACTATAAAACTACACTATATCACCTAATTGTTCATTCACACTTCATCACATTTTTCTGACTAAACACCCTATACACATTTAATTGACTATGCTAACTAATGGACTATCACCTCAACTTACACATGCACCCCAATACAGTTTCTGATATTATTTTCATTTGCCTTTATTGGCTATGTGTACTATATTATTCATGGATTTATAACTGTAGAGCCTGAAGAAGAAGTTATCGAAAACAATTGTTCGCTCAAAATCTTGTTTTGATTTCAATATGGGGATTTTTCATTTACAAAAAAGAAAGTGTCCAACTGATTGAAAGAAAGGCTGGCTACTGAAGAAGTGCGACTTAAGCCACTGAAAGAACTCGTGTGGAATCATGCTCCTCTTGTCAACACTAAGTAAAATAATAAATCGCATCATTCTGCAGAAAAATAAAAGATAAATTGGATGCAGAACTCCGCCACCCACCAGAACAAGCTGCATTCAGGAAAGACGAATTATCTGCTTAACAGATTGCAACTATGCGCATCAACATCACGGAACAAAGTATAGAATGGCAGTCAAACCTCACTCCACCTCAACCTCCTCTACCGACTTCAAAAATTCCTTCATTGGACTGCGTTGACCGTAAAGTAATTTGGAAACTACTTCATCACTGTGGCATGCAGTGCTCAAGTCTTTATCAACCTCATGCACCAGCTGGCTATAGGACAGTGCTAGGTATCAGGTGATCCACAGTGGAAAACCCAACGAGACGTTCAAATTGACTACAGGAACAAGACATGCCTTCCTGTGGTTTAAACGGTAGACTGTTAGTTGGGAGTGAGAAAAAAGAAATATATATATGTGACCGATTAGAAGACTTTGGAAGATCTGAATTTCTCAGATAATTTATATCTAATACCGTACAAGCTAGTAAACGTACAGATGGGAAATCAACAAACGGGTTGAAGGTGTAGAGGAGACAAGAATCCACGTAAACATAGAGAATATGGTGATGATGAAGATAACTGAAGAAATGCAGCAACAACAAGAATCAGAACCAATCACCATCGGTTAGGGAAATTTGAAAGAAGTTACTTGCTTCACTTATCCTGCAAGCTTCGTTTCAACTACAGGCGGAAATAATGAAGATGTCAAATCTAGAATTGAGAAAGCCAGGGGGACCTTCATCAATTTGGAATCAATTTGAAAACTTTTTGCACTCAGGAAAATAAATAATAAGATTCAGATTACCGACACCAATAATAAGTGAACCAGTGCTTGTATATGAGTCAGAAACTTGTCGTGTGCATCAAGGAAGTGGATTCTAAGACAATTACTGCAGACTTTTATCGTCATAGTGAATATGGAATGATCGAAGGGAAATAGTATCGAGAAAGTAATAACCTATTGTCTGAAAAATATTCAAAATAAAAAGGGAAATGGATTTAGCACACGATAAAAAGAGATCAATGTATGACATCATACCTCGGGCCCTTCACTTTAACTTAAACGGATAAACAAGAGTGGAGTGTCTGAGTGTGAGATGAAGCAGAACGTATGATGAGAAGGAGACCAGTGGTTATGGGCAGACTTGCAGTCAGCTAATTGGGACTGTAGAGAATCGAACGAAGTGAAGACGTCTACTTTGTGTCCTATGTTTCAATAGGAAGTCAAGAAAACAATAATACTAAGAAATCTTTCATGTACACACACGTACAGAATTCAGTGTGTTACCATGCCGCGCACATCCAAATACTGTCAGTGTTAGGTAGCAAGATTGCCTGTTGTCATAATGTGTTATAGGATAATTGATAAATTTCTCTGTCACATCTTCAAATAACTCACGAAAAATGGTTGATTTGTTTACGTTCCAGGGAGTTTATATGTGTACTCTTCAAAGGATTACGTGTCACTTCAAAGTGATCCCTCGTTTGACAGTCAAGAGCATTATTTGTTAAGTACACAGATTCTAACGTTGACATTTCAAACTTCCAATGCGTCCACCTCATCCCACCGATATTCATTCACTCAGACAACATTTATGAAAACTAATCATGCAAATTTCACCAACACCTGACTTCAGTCGATAATGAACATGCACATTTCAGGCAGACATGATAAGCAAAGGTAATGAACAGTTAAACACGAACTAGCCAACAGCCTACTATGCCAAGAAATATGCACACATATCTAAAAAAGAGATAGCGAGTGGAAGGCGTACAATTTGAAACATCTGGTCAATTATGAGAATTTTTACAAAAGATAAGCACTTTACCTATCAATGCTTACCTGAATTCAACAAAACTATCATTGGAAATGATAAGCACAGTAAAACAACCAATAACCTTTTGGTTTGCAGCTAATTTCATTGGTGGAGTGTGTGTACAGAGAAATAGATTGCAGATGGTATAAATTGTCCTCTGTAAACTCAGCTTAGAACAAAATAAATTTAAAAAAACTGGAGGGAATAATGCTGCTTCATTGGCTATTCTGCCTCTCATCACTTCACATCTGCCTACAAAGTGTCAACTCACAACCAGCGAATGCAGAACTTCAGAAATTACTTCAACTGCATAATGAATATCGACATAAGGTGATGAATTGTGAATTAGCAAATCAACCACCGGCTAAATATCTTCCAGATCTTGTAAGTTTATCTATCCAACCTCAACCAACACCCCTCGTCAAAACAAAAACCCAAAATTCTTCGTTTTCTCCTCTGATGTCATTATTTTAATCATGATTTTTTTGCTTCTGCTTTTCTCTTACACTTCCTTATTTAGCGGTGGGATAATGAACTCGCCCAACTTGCACAAAAATTGGCAGATACTTGTGTATTTGATGATGACGAACCTAAGTCACGGAAATTTAGTTATGTTGGACAAAATGTAGCTGTTCAAGCAACTGTTGAGTCGTAAGCGAATAAAAATGAATATTTTGCTTTAATCCCCTTTTGGTTAATTTTAGAGCTGTAGAAGCATGGTTTTCAGAGTATAAACATTATGATTATAATACACAACAGTGTTCCTATTTTTGTGGACACTATACACAGGTAGGTTGTATATTTGTGTTTATTCCCTTGTTAATTGTTTGTTTGGTTAATTTTAATGCGGGATGAGTCATTTTGTCCCTAATTACCTTCACACCAACTGGGAGAATCATCTTTAACTCAAATGTATATTTATTGTCAATAAGTTCCAGATGAATTCTGAGTGAAATACACGACCTTTCACGTTCTTGTTTCAGTCAGTTTCACTATTGTCAGTAGGTTCTCACCTCCTTCACATTCGATCTTCTTCATGTCATTCTCCAACGCACATGGTCAATAACATTTGAATATGATACTATTCAATATTCTACATTTCTGTGTTTTGTTCTTCGAGATGCCGAGTAGAACCTACACCATTAGTCTATGTAAACTACAATGACAGTGGTGTTGATTATTATTCCAGGGCCGAGTTACCTGGTACGTCCTCACACCTTCGTATTTCTCAAACTTATTACTGACTGAACGTGATTTAGAAGTACTCCAGCCGGATGTCAAACTCTGCAGCTTTTAAAGTTGAAAAGAGGGTAGAGGGTTAAGACAGGAAACAGAAAAAATTTAAAAAAAAACACTGTTAGCTCGTGGGTTCACATGACAACTCAAAAAACAAAAGCGGTTTTAGAGATTATAAGACTGAGATTTGCTTAGTGAGTTGAGATAACTGGACTAGATGACTAATTAATGTAATCAAAATCAAACTTCAGTTATCAAGGGAGTGAGAGGTTAATCACATTCTCTTTCTGTATGCATAAGTTTGATTTGAATCGTTTGATTGCAATCGTTTCGGCAAATCGTAGTAAATTTGCTGTCCTCTGTCTATTTAATATTTTGAAGAACTGAGAAATATCTACGAGATGTCCGGTATCAACAATATGTCTGGTAATTGCACTCTGAGAATATCTGCCTCCTTTCAGGCAGAAGTTTCTTTGAATATGTTCATAAAACCGGATAGAAGGCATTCTTTAAGTCCTTCCAATATACTTGCTCCCGCAAGTGCACGTAAATTAATAAACGCAGTTGGAGGTAACATCACCAGGGTATTTATTTAGTTTGGAGCGGCCAACAGAAGAAGTGTTGCTGTATAATGTTATGAGTTTAGTTGCAGGTAAACATCATTTTATTGCACTTTTCAGTCTTTTGTGAATCTTTTGGGACGCTGTATCTCCTTTGAATGAAAGACAAATAAACACTTTCCTTTCCTCTACAGTTAGGTGGTTTTCTTCCCTACCTTTGTCTCCGCTATACTTTGATGTAAATCCACTTGTGTATCCATTTTCTCTTACCCATTTCTCAACAAAAACTAATTCTTCTTCAACTCTGCACGGTGAACATAGCTTTCTGACTCTGTCGTACAAAGTCCTCACTAATTCACGTTTTCTAGCTTATTGGACAAAATCTGTTTTAATGAAGATATTGTCCAGTCCAGGTTTCTTTTCTGTAGATGGACTTTTCGATTGTGCCCTCGTTTTATTCTTTTCTCAGCTTACTGCTGACCAGGTGAGATTTGAAAACACACTAGCCTTATTTCAAATCCTGCAGCACATGAAGTGTGATTTACGAACATTCAATTATTTAAACACGGATGCACAACACTTGTCAGTGTCAAATGGGTAGAGATGAGGTTAATTGGAATATCTCAGCATTGATTCTAGTAACTCTGACGTCATTATTGAGCACTGTACCATCACCATTTCATAGATAGGAATTTCTTGACACGCTTATATCAAAGAAGGGTTTTGAATGAGAATATTCTGTTGTCTCTGAATAATTTATGGTTTTGTCTTTTCAGATAGTCTGGGAGAAAACTACACACGTTGGGTGTGGTATGAAATTTTGTAAACGTTCAGATTACGGATTATCCATCGTTTGCAATTACGGTGAAGGGTGAGTTACTTTGATGATGAACATTAAATAAATTATAACAAATTTTTAAAAGTAATCTGTGGATTCACCTGAGAGTAGTAAACACCTGTTCCTGCCGTCCTAATTTGAGACTCTTCACAGTTTACAGCCAGGAAAATTTCGGTTATAAGGCCAGCTCGTTGATCATTCAGCCTCTGTTTACGCGTTGGCTGTTCATCAGCAAACTGCTCTCCAACCATCCAGATAGTTTGGCATACAAATCGCGACCAACTACTCACTCGGTAATCTCATCTGAGCCAGTAAAGAGGGAAGATTGTATTGAAATTTAAAAAACACTAATCCTTGAATAATAATGATACTAAAATAATTTCACCTTTGTTTTTTATATACCTTATGAAGCGGTGATTTGAAAGGCCAATATCCTTATCAAAAAAAGCCACGAAGTGAATGTCGTCAATAACGGCTATCCTATACAAAGAAAACACACCCAACCTGATTGGACACAACTCAAATCCACCTAGAGTCAATACACCAGTGCTCAGCGTCTTCAAGGAAATATAGCTCAAACGTGTTTTTTATCTTGACTAATTAGAAAGGAAGCAGTAATTGCTTTTCATTTTTTAATTTGTATTCTTTTTCGAGTAAAATTTATTATTTTACCAAACTCACTGATTCTGCTTTTTCTTGAATTACATCTTCGATAAGAGGAAATATACAGATGTTCATTAAGTGCGGTTTTGCTGTAGCGGAGATCGATGATTTTAGAAGACCTTTGAATATTATTAATAATAATGATACTTTTAGCTTCATTCTTAAAACTGCGTTTAAGCATGTTCCGTGAAGAATTCTCAACTATTCACTTTTTGTGTTGAATCTTCATTTTAAACTAATAATCAGTAGTATGTAACATTTGTGGAGAAAATGTCACATATTTTTTAGCGAAGAGATCTTTTATTGGCTAATTCATTTACCTCGTTTACCTGTATAGTCGCATTAATGTAGAGTTCTGCATGAAAAATGGTGCCAATCAAATTTGTCAGTATTGTTCAATGTATAAAATGAATCGAATATGTGTGTATCCTTATTATTCCTTTGGGTTAACAAGTGGAAAATAGAGCTTCTAAAACACTTCTATACTTCTATTTCCTGCTATCCTCTTATCTGCATCCACGATCGCTTATAATACTGTCACCGCCTCCTTGTCAAACGATCTCCTACATGTCACGCAATACACAATGAGTACTGGAATGAGTGATTTGTCGTCAGGATGTACACAGAAACAATGGAATTCCTGGAATTATTTAACGCGAATATTCTTATAATTTATCTAGAACAAAATAGTTAAAGCGAACAATTGTGGTTTCTTCTTCTGGCTCTAAAATTAGAGATCTAGTAATTTAAGCATGTGTAATAAGCAGTCAGTAAAGGCAAATTAGAATTATATCAGAAAGTGTATATATACATATATGCCATTTGGCAGCTACTTCGCTACTACGGGGTGCCATCGACAATTATATATCTCATCCAACACTTATACGACAATGCTGCATGCCAAGTAATCCACATCGAGAAACTTACGGAAGCCTTCGAAGTGAGGACGGGAGTGAGACAAGGCTGCCTACTATCGCCAATGATCTTCCTGACTGCAGTGGATTGGATAATGAGACAGACAATGGGCAATGAGGAAACAGGCATAAAATGGACTCACACAAAAGAGTTGGAAGATCTGGACTTCGCCGATGATATATGTCTGATTTCCCACAAACTGGAAGATATGCAAGTGAAAAGCAACAAGCTGGCAGAAGAAGTAGCAAAGATAGGATTTTAGGTGAACATAGATAAAACAGAGGTATGTGATGAAGATTCCTAGCCAACATCAACAGCAGCAACAACAACAGACAACAATCAGCCAGCATAAATGGGAGGAACCTGAAAGAAACAACCTCCTTCACCTAACTGGGAAGCATCGTTTCAACTACAGGCGGAACTGACGAGGATATCAAAGCCAGAATCGGAAAAGCAAGACAAGCTTTCATTGCTCTCAAGTGTTTGTGGAGGTCAACATCATTCAGCATCCAAAAATAAGATCCGGATTTTCAAGTTTAACGTGAAGTAAATGCTACTATACGGAATAGAGACTTGGCGCGTCATGAAGATCATCTCAAACAAACTTCAAACCTTCATTGACAGCCGTATTCACTCAATACTCAAAATCAGATGGCCAGACAGAAATGATCAGCAGCTGGGATCTCTGGCAATGAACGAACCAACTAGGAACCGATTGTGAAACAAATATGCAGGAAGAAATGGAGATGGATTGGCCGTACTCTGAAGAAACTATCAGGTGACATTACTAGACAAACCATTGCTCGAGTGGAACCCGGAAGGGAAGCGGCGAGTTGGTCGTCAGTGCGAGGATGACTTGGAGGAAGTTATGTGAAGACGAGATGAAAGCATGTGGTCGGCAGACTTGGAGCGGGGTGAAAAAGTTGGCAGAAAACAGAAGGCAGTAGAGGTGCGCAGCTGAAGCCCTATGTTCCTCCAGGAATTAAAGGATATAATAATAATGTAAATAAGTCTATAATCAACAAAAATACAGGTTTCGAGGGTTAATGTAATCAGTGGTGTGTGTGTGTGTGTGTGAGGCAATATGAATACCACAGAGAGTGAATGGGGTGGTCTGGACATAAGTTCAAAGTTGAAAATAACGGCAGTAATAGCGTTCGTAAAATAATAATCATGATGTGGTGTGACTTAGAAACTATTGTTGAATGATTGTCAAATAATAATAATAATGAATTTAGTGAAGTGAAATGAACAGAATTTTGTGAATACGATAGCAAGTTAGAAAAGTACTACTTAAACCTCAGGTAATAAAATCATAAGAAGGCTCATGAAATCATTTAAAATCAAAGAAATAAACGTTTGTCAATGAATCAAAGGAATAGATAACGAAGAAGATAAGAAAATTGTGATCGGAACTCGTTGACCTTATTGTAGACAAACGTAAACATAGTGATTGAACACACTTCTGCTGTATACAAAGAGTCCGTCTTCTCTTATTGATTGCAATTGCTTGAGCTACTTATCGAAGTAGTCGAGTACGTTTAGATACATTAACAGGAGCGCGGTGAATAATTGAGAACGCCTGGTGAAGTTTTATCGAGTGTACAGTATCTATCGAGGGAGCCAAGACTGCACTATTCACGCATTTTGTTACCCCTAATCCCAACCAAACAAGTAAGTGTTCAAGCAAGGCCAGGTACACTAACTGCCCATGAGTAGTTGAGATTATAGATATATATATTGATGAGGCCATCTTCGGTAGTTTATCCTTCACTCGTTGTGTGGGTACTGGTTTCGTTGAGAAGTTGGATAACAATTCAGCTGTAGGGAAATTTCTGTCTACTGCTCTGGTAAGTCGACATTTTAGAGTATCAGCTGTAACATACTTCTTAAGAAGTTCTCTGGATATACATTTTCGTGCAGTGTAAGTTTTGGTCGACACATTTCTTCCCTAATTCGCTCTCCTGAGAATATGCATCTTATTCTATAGCTTAGGAACTTAACTGAGTTTCTTTTGTATTGAACTGGTGCGAATCTATGAAAATGGGTGAACTCACACATCCAACAGTTTTCTTTCTAAATAAGTTCCTTTACAGATATACGTCTTTCTTCATGACGAGGAGGAATCCTTAAAAAAGTATGCTGTTATTTTCTTCTTCCTTAGGTGTAAACTGGATTGCTAGATGAACACTATTAACAGCATTCCGATGTTCTTGTTTATTACGTTTTCCAACACAAACGATGAATGTATCATCTACGTATCAATAGTAATTATTTTTATTGTTCGCTTGTGTTCCTAGTGGAACATAGGGCTTCAACTGCACGTTTCCACTTGCTTCTGTCTTCTGCTGTACTTTTCACCTGCATCCATGTCAGCTCATACTCTTTCAACTCCTCTTCACACCATCTCCTCCATGTCACCCTTGCACTGACGTCCCACTCGCCGATTCCCTATCGGGTTCCACTCGAGCAATGGCCTGACGCGCGATGTCACCAACCGACCTCCTCACCGAGTGTCCAATCCATCTCCACTTTCTCCTGGATATTTGTTGAGAGATCGGTTCTTGTGTTTTTGTTCCTATAGTTTCTTGTTGGTGATTTTTTCCGACCCGGCCATCTGATCTTCAGTATAGATCCAGCGAAGACAGTTGTTGATAAATGTCTGCAACAGGCTGTTGGAAATATTCTTTGTGACCCGCCCGCCAAGTTTCTGATCTGTATAAAAGAACTGACTTGACATTTGTATTGAAAACCCAACGGAAGTTTGTTGTTGATGCTGAGTGATGAAGATTTCCAGATTGGGTTTTCAGGTTGATGAATGTGTTTCTCGCCTTCCCGATTCTCGATTTGACATACTCCTTCATCTAAAGAAATCCTCACTGGCTGTATTCTCAGATCTTATACAGCCAATTATATATTGTTTACTATCAACAGCAATTGTAAATAAACGTGATGATTCTATTTGTATGAATCATTGTCCATGCCAATGACATCTATCTCTGCTTGAGAAATATGTGATTGAGAGGAATAATTATATGAAAGGAACTAGCAGTGAAGTCCATTGAAAAAAAAATTAGACGTTACTGATGTCCATAAAATGGTTGTAAAATCAAATATACTACCTAATGAAAATAAGTAGCACGAAGACAAAGAGATAAAGATCACGGTTCTCAATACAAAACACACAAAAGCATAAAACAGGCCATTATTTCCTTGACAAACTATCGATCTAGCGTGTCGGTCGGTCTACAAAAATAGTTGCGTGAAACAGTGTTGAATTCTTATTTCACGGCGTTGTGTACGGTATGATAAATCCCCCGTCAGATGGCAAGAGCTGATGCGTTAACACCCAGCCATGCTGAGCTCTGCATACAGAAACGGTTTGTTTAGTAAGCGAAAATAAAATTGACCTAATTCGTCTTACAATTTGATACGCAATTCTCATTCCTCTTAGTTTTTGCGTATTTTTTATCTCCCTCCGCGATGTAACCTTCCCATTACTTATGAAACTGCTGATAACTTGATGGTTTTTTTCAATATAATGGAGGTCTGCTCAGTCCCGTTGAAACGGCATAAGACGGAAAGAGTTGGTATTTGAGTGCTTCTTTGTAAATTGGTACCTGTATATATCCAAATTATGCATAAAAGTCATCTGCGTAGCACCATTTGTACAGATCTTCGTGTTGTAGTACTAGTGGGCTTCCTATTGTGTTATGCTGTATTCC